ATTGATGTTTTGAGCACTATTTCAACAATAGTATTTCTATATCACTCTACAATTGATGTATTGAACACTATTTTAACAGTGGTATTTCTATATCACTCTACAATTGATGTATTGAGTACTATTATAACAGTAGTATTTCTATATCACTCTACAATTGATGTATTGAGTACTATTTTAACAGTGGTATTTCTATATCATTCTACAATTGATGTTTTGAGTACTATTTTAACAGTGGTATTTCTATATCACTCTACAATTGATGTTTTGAGTACTATTTTAACAGTGGTATTTCTATATCACCCCACAATTGATGTTTTGAGTACTATTTTAACAGTGGTATTTCTATATCACTCTACAATTGATGTATTGAGCTCTATTTTAACAGTGGTATTTCTATATCACTCTACAATTGATGTTTTTAGCACTATTTTAACAGTGGTATTTCTATATCACTCTACAATTGATGTATTGAGCACTATTTTAACAGTGGTATTTCTATATCACTCTACAATTGATGTATTGAGTACTATTTTAACAGTGGTATTTCTATATCATTCTACAATTGATGTATTGAGCACTATTTCAACAATAGTATTTCTATATCACTCTACAATTGATGTATTGAACACTATTTTAACAGTGGTATTTCTATATCACTCTACAATTGATGTATTGAGTACTATTATAACAGTAGTATTTCTATATCACTCTACAATTGATGTATTGAGTACTATTTTAACAGTGGTATTTCTATAAGACTCTATATACAATTGATGTATTGAGCACTATTTTAACAGTGGTATTTCCATATCCCTCTACAATTGATGTATTGAGCACTATTTTAACAGTGGTATTTCTATATCACTCTTTAATTGATGTATTGAGCACTATTTTAACAGTGGTATTTCTATAAGACTCTATATACAATTGATGTATTGAGCACTATTTTAACAGTGGTATTTCTATATCGCTCTACAATTGATGTATTGAGCACTATTTTAACAGTGGTATTTCTATATCACTCTACAATTGATGTATTGAGCACTATTTTAACAGTGGTATTTCTATATCGCTCTACAATTGATGAATTGAACACTATTTTAAAATTGAAATTTTTTGTCATGTAAGGTGAGAAAGTCGATTATAAAAATTGGGCAAGAGGAGCACCAAAGAAAAGTCGTAAAAGAAGATTTTTGTTGGATGATATATCAGAAGTTATACCGGACTATCCAGCTACAGTTAGTGATTGTGTCGTCATGGACATCAAAAGACATGGTCAATGGTTGGATATGCCGTGTCATTACAAAAACATCAAACATGAGTTTATATGCCAATTTGGTAACTGTTTTTTATATATCGTATACTACCTGAAGTAATCGCTTTGCATTTTCGAAAAATTTGTTTATCTTGTAAATATCTCCAGAAGTAGGTAACTTCTTATCAAATTGAAGAATTCCAATGTCGGTCCATCCATAATTGCTCCTAAACACTCTTGAACTCTCTGTTAGAATTGTGCTTTTGAAAAGGATATGATACTTTGTTTTCTCCATCTGAATCGCGCAATAGTTAGATAAATCTTTAATTTTTCTACACGTCCCACATGAAATGTAAAGCGTATTGCCGCCACCCGACCGTCGGTCCATCCACAATTGCTCCTAGACACTCTTGAACTCTCTGTTAGAATTGTGCTTTTGAAAAGGATATGATACTTTGTTTTCTCCATCTGAATCACGCAATAGTTATGTAACTCTTTTATTTTAAGAACTGAAACACCCGACCTCACCAACAACACAAACTACTGGCGCTTCCACCAGGAAAAAAATCACCTTAACAACAACAACAGCTTTTGAAACAACATCAAAGCTTCATGAAACAGATCAAACAACCGAAGAAATAACAACAACTAATTCTTCTGCTGAATTTCATATAACAATAATTAGTTATAACACAAGTTATAACATTAGTAATGTTGTTAATGATACATATGATAATGACCGACAAATTGGTAGGTTATATAAGTTATGTTAGTTTATATACGTTTATGAGCCAAAATAAACAGAAAAGCAAGTCATTGTTGCTTTTCAATGTTTAAAGATGTGTTTCCTTATTTTTTTAGTGTTAAATTAAGCAAACTATTTGATAACTTGGTGTTTCTAATGAATTGTCATGCATACAATTAAGAGTTTTAACCATTCATAAATGTCCATGTATGTACAGTCTTGATGACCTTTTCTAATTGGTCACTCATTGGAATTCTGCTGGTAATTCTCTTCTAATTTAGCTAATTATGAATTAATTATGGACATGTAAGACAAACAGGTATTTTCCAGGTCATTAGAACACCTCTACTTTCTATTCATATAAGTATTAGCATTTTCATTTTTATAAATAAAAATAAGGGAACCAATCTTTAAGCTCAGAACTTTAAAAATAATTTTCCACGAAAAATCAATAGAAAAAGATCAGTCTTAGCTATTAGTAAATGATAGGTAAAACCTTTGTTGATACGTATTGTATTGATTTATTTCCTTAAAACTAATTAATTCTCAACTTTTTTCAGATAATAACAACCATGTTCAGAACAATTTTAGAGAGAAAATAGGTAGGTTTCTGAAACCGGACCTGGAAACTAATCAATCTCTGTTGATCTATTTCCAACTATCCTAGATGACTATCCTTACCAACACCTTTTTAGATGCTTATAAACTGGCACTATTCTAGAAAATACCACTACAACAATGTCTTTGACGAACTATATTCTAGAAGGCTATTCCTACTATTATAGCACAATTTCGGATCGGCTCTATTCTAGAAAATCATTCCTTCAAATGACTGTCCGTACCAATTTCCAGATCGGTACTATTCAAGAAGAGCATAAGTATGAATGACTATCTCGTCGGCACTATTCTAGATGACTATCTCAATGGAAATATTTATATCGGAAGTTTGCTAGCACTAATCTTAGACTAAGACTGTACTTATTGCTGTATTTGACCGTTATTGGCGGACTGTTTGTCAAATTTACGTTGTCGTCTGGGTTTAAAAACGATGATGTAAAAGAAGATTGAAGTGTATTCTGTGCACATTTTGCAGTTTTAATAACAAGCAATTTTTGTTATCTAGGTATATGTCTAATTAAACTTATGGTGTGTTTTATAATTTTACTACCTGATTATTAGATGATAAACAATAATCATACTAATCTTTATGAACAATAGGATTATAAACATGCTAATAACACAATATTGACTCTCTAAATTGATTTATTAACGTCTTTTTCGGGATCTTGAAAATGACCCATGATTTCTTTGTTAACACATATTATGCATTATTAATTGGTGTTGGGTGTATTGAGACGAGTCTCAATGAAAGCGCTGGCCTAGGTCACAGAGCAATAGATAAGTCTATTAATTATGTGAAAATTAGTTAGTCATTAGTATGATTTTAGTTGAAAAGACACACACACAAACATACACTGCATGTTATATAATATACTGTATATAGCCATGGCACCAGTCCTGAAATAAGTATTCCCTGAAATCTAACTTAGAAATCGATTAATTTATTGATAGAACATGATACATTTATATTAAGAAATCTATGCTCCTAGGACGAATGGAGTTATTATGGATTTCTTTTGTAATGTTTAGATTTTTCAGAGCTCAAAATTGGTCTTTACTAATACCTTTACGATTTTGAATCTTTTTAAAATTTGATTATAATTTTGGGGATTTTTGTCTTTTCGTTTTTTATCATTTCTTGATACAATAACAAAGTGGAATAGCGAATCCCAAAGAAGAGCAAGATGAAAACTTCGTTGGGATTCGCTACATTGTAATGAAGGAACAGGTCTTCTAAGACACGCTTTGGTTGGTAAAAATATGTCTTTATAACGGTAATGTTTTAAACAAACAAAAAAAACTTGAAAGTTTGTCAGATTTGTACAATGGAAACGAAAATAAGAACGAAATTTTTATTTACATGGGTAAAAGTTTTTGCTTTTTGTATTTTAGGTTTGATAACAGGATTAACCGTGCTAGGTGTAATAGTTATACTGGTTCTATCCTCAGTTATGGTTGTTCGTCGAAAGTAAGTAGAACTTTGTCGTCGTATATGTCATGAAAATTTAACGTCTATATCGTGGTCCGCTTTTTAACTTCGAATTAAAGCGAAGAATTTAAAAAATAACGTGTAACGACCGTTTTTTCTATATGAATATTTACTTATCCGATTCCTGATACATGTACTGGCCACAGTGCAACACAGTTACATGTAATATTTCCGAAAACATGTTGAAGGGGCGGTGGTCAAATTTCAAGGTACCTGCAGAAGAAAGTCTGTGTGGTTCAGATTTGGAAATGCCTTGTTTTATATGCCTCTCCGTCGTCCGAACCTATACATATTGTGTCATATTTTCTTTTTGAAAAAGGAGAGTGGTTTCATTGATAATGAATATGCCTGTGTTTTTTTTTTCAAATACATGTAGTTGTTTATGGAATGATGCCAGGCGTTTTACACGTTTACGCTTTCTCGTTTATATCTTACTATGATTCTTGAATAACGAGTTGGAATTATGATTCTTGAATAACGAGTAGGAATTATGATTCATGACTAACGAGTAGGAATTATGATTCTTGACTAACGAGTTGGAATTATGATTATTGACTAACGAGTAGGAATTATGATTCTTGAATAACGAGTAGGAATTATGATTCTTGAATAACGAGTTGGAATTATGATTATTGACTAACGAGTAGGAATTATGATTCATGACTAACGAGTAGGAATTATGATTCTTGACTAACGAGTTGGAATTATGATTATTGACTAACGAGTAGGAATTATGATTCTTGAATAACGAGTAGGAATTATGATTCTTGAATAACGAGTTGGAATTATGATTATTGACTAACGAGTAGGAATTATGATTCATGACTAACGAGTAGGAATTATGATTCTTGACTAACGAGCAGGAATTATGATTCTTGACTGACGAGTAGGACCTATTCTTGGCTAATGATTCTTGACTAACGAGTAGGATTGGTGATTCTTGACTAATGAGTGGGACTGAAGATTCTTGACTAACGAGTGGGATTGACGATTCTTGACTAACGAGTAGGATTGGTGATTCTTGACTAACGAGTAGCATTGATGATTCTTGACTAACGAGTGGGATTGACGATTCTTGACATACAAGTAGGATTGATGATTCTTGTCTAACGGATTGATTTATGTTTTGTATCATAATTTAATCATATTATTTCATCATTATTTAATATTATTTTATCATTATTTCATTATTATTTTATCATTATTTCATATTATTTCATTATTATTTCATATCTTTACAGAATGAAATCCAAACAGAAAATAGAATTAAAAGATGTCATAGCATTTAATAACACTGTTTATAACAATGGCGACGAAGCATCTGACACCCCGGAAGATCTAACCAATACGGAAGTTCACATATATCATATTCCTGATGAATTTAATGATAAAGATGTTATAACTAACGAACGTATTGTTTCGTGAATTATGAAGACTTTGAAAACAGTAAATACGATGTTTGTTAAAGAGGGAGTTTACGACAGTTTATAAAAGCAGAACTTGTGACGAATCAACAATATATGTATTTTGTTAATATTGTCAAGTCAATTTTACCTTTTATATTAAATGTCAGTAGAGGGGTGATCCTTGTTAGGGACCGGTGCGCCCTTTTTTGACCATTCATACTTTTGCCTCAGAAGCGGATTTTTTTAGCTAAGCAAATCAGAAGGCTTAGAGTCTGCACAGATCATCGTCGAAATTTGAGCCTTCTAAACTATGTGTGTCCAGAATTATCCGCATTTGAAAGTGAAAAGGGTGAGTCGTCTATTTAAGAGACACTATAGAAAAGAAATTCCTAGTTTGACATATTTTTGAAGGAACTCGTGCGATTTTCTAGTACTTCTGAAGACCGTTCACGTATATTCAAGACCCCATTCAAATAGGGCACCATTAAGAGCCATTGTTCACATTAGCTTCATTTGCCTACAAACATTATTCACTACAGATATGAAAATTTCAAAATGTAGGACCTGCCCTTTTTAGTGCCACTTTAAATTTAATTTTCTATTTTTTCTTTTTTGTTTAAGGGATGAATATTTTGGTTATAAAAAAAATAAAAAATAAATTGTACAAAATAATATCAAAAAGAAAGAGAAGCGAACCGACGATTTAATTCTAAAAATGAATTGGGATAGGTCAAGTTAGAAATTGGTAATATTCGGATGAACAGTTTCAGAGTTATTGCCCTTGTGATTACAGCGATGAGACATTGTTCATGTTTGAATTTGATGATAATTTTATGAACTGTTTCAGGGTTTTGCCTTGGCTTGTAGATGATTTTAAGATTATTTGAAAAATTCATTATTAAGCCACTGTTAAGATTTTGTTATCATTTCTGACAGCTGGTAGTTTCGTTCCTGAGGGTTGTCTACATAAAACTCTCATTTGTAACATGCAGTGAGTAGGCCTTTTATTTCAAGTTCAAATTGTCAAAGTTCTTTTCTTTTTTTCTTAAACATTTGAAATTTTTATATTTCACTAAAGGCCTCACATGAGGCATAATAGTACGACAAATTTAACACAATAAATATAACAAATATAAATGTAACAAATATAAATATAACAAATATGAATATAACAAATAAATATAAATATAACAAAAATAAATACAACAAATAAATATAAATATAACAAAAATAAATGTAACAAATATAAATATAACAAATATAAATGTAACAAATATAAATGTAACAAATATGAATATAACAAATAAATATAAATATAACAAAAATAAATACAACAAATATAAATATATAAAAAATAAATATAACAAATATAAAGCTAATTTTATATTTCAACTTATTTTAAGTTATAATTTCTGAATTAAAGAGGGTTTGTGATTTAATTATGTTAAGAAATAGTTCATACAACATATTTTAAATCGTTTTTAAACCGGATGTTTTGGTGTAGGCTACTCGCGTCATATCCTACATTGAAATTATTGCTCAAGTATGTTGTGTAGCAGACTAATTTTATAAGAGGTAGGTCGTTTTAGTGCGATTTCGTTTAAAAAAAAAAGGTGGAGCACTACATGGATGATGACAAAGAAAATCTAGACTTGGTTAAAAAAAATAATGATATCTAGCTAGGCCTAATCACGTCAATATCAGGACGAACGCGAAAGACATTTTTCACAAACACGACAGCCTAGCGTCGTTAGCGGTTAGGCCTACTCTTATCTAGCCTATTCTAGTATTCATAACTTTGCGGAACCTAGCCTCAAGGATTTTTGGCCCCATCCACGGGCATTTTCTAGATAGAACTGCTTTGTCGCTGCAGGATTCAGAATGTCATTCCCAACAAAATGCCATAGCAGACTTTGAAGCAACGGGAACTTATCCCTTTAATCCTTGTAAAATTACAAAGGAGAACATCAATGGTGGTGCGTCTGATGATGATGATGATGATGACGCTTCTGATAATGAGGAGGAGAAGTTGGATGGTGATGCTTCTGATGATGCTTTTTATGGTGAAGGGAGCTGGTGATCATTGGGTAATATCAATTTTAGTTACCTAATCGCACGATGAGATAACTATGATTTCTTTCATCTACAATGGTAACAATAAAAAACTGAACCTCTTGCTAAAGATTTAATCAACTAACGTGGCGGAAACATTTTGGTTCATATGATTGCAGAAATTTTCCTTTTAAAATGCAAAAAAATAAAATTAACAATAATTCATCTGAGTATATCCTTGTTAAGATATTAAAGGTATTTGGTTCTATTGTTAAAGAGACTGTTGCACAATTCTTTTTGACCAATCATACTTGAGTCTCAGAAACGTGAATTTTGTTATCAGTAATAGTGATCACAGCTCAACGTCGAAATTTGAGCCTTCAAATCTATCTTTGTCCAAAATTATCCGCGTTTGAATGTTAAAATGACGACTCGTCAATTTAAGACACTCTGTGATGTATAGAAAAGACATGGAAATTGTGGGTAAAATTCCTAGTATGAATTATTATGCAATTTTCGTAGATTTCTAGTACTTCTGAAGACTATTCACATAATTTCTAGTCTCAAATCAACCCTTCAAAATGGCGTATCTGTTCCTTTAAAGCCAGCAGTGTTGAAACTATAGGCATAAAAGAGTTATTCGGGCTTGAAATCCAACTGCCGGTAATATGAATACCTTTAAGAGGTTTTTTGTATATATTTTATACATCCAATAAAGAATATATGGACTCACTCCACTAATTCATTTGCCATCTCTTCCCATGTTAAAACACGAAATTCAACCTTCTATAACTTTTTCCAGAAATCTCGTTGAAAGCTTTCCAACATGTCGAATGAAAGCCTGACCAATTCTCAATGTCTCCTAAAAAATTCATTATATGATGACCATGAAAATTTTGAGCTACTAAAATTGGAAGTAGACTACTACCGGTTATACTCATCTGCTAGAGTTTGGCACTCTACAAAACGACTATTTTTAGAATTAGCCTTCCGCCTTTAAGTCTCTCATCATCTCACCAAATCTGAAAGATAATGCAATTTCAGACATCAAATTCCAAATCTAGACCAAATTTTACCCAAAAATAGGCAGGCAAAAACCCCAAAAGGGAGAGAGAAAGAAGATTTCTAAAAATAGCCTGGACTACATTCCTATAAAATGTTTTAGTGAAGTGAGTCCATATGGGCAAATGTGTTCGGACAAAGAATTTATATCGCTTACTAGTGTCTTTTCTTCTGAAGAAATATTGAGAAAAAGTAATATAAAGATCAACTCTGAACCTATGCTTTGCTTTACGATATTAAAACGTCAATGCCGACTTTACGGTGCATGAACAGTGACCTGCACCGTATTGTAAACACACCCTTTGACAATATTTTAATAGACACGATTGTTTGTGACAGGGCAGTACAGGATAACTTACAAAACAAAATCCTGAGGAAGACAATCAATATTATTCTGTCAATATACAGGTATAAATGAAATAGGCTTGGATTTACAATAACACTGTAAAGTGCGAGTGTCTAAATCGAGAACTCGCTGACTGCGAAGCTATATAATCAACCAAATTGGGATTAACAGATTAGCGGTGGCTAATTATGTAAGAGATTGGATTTCAGGTAAATACAGGTGAGCCGTTTTGATTATTTTCTTGTTGTATTTGATAGGTTTAGCTCGGTTGAAGCGAGTTCCAGTAGGTCTATGTTGGAATTGAATGAATGAATAATTTCAAGTTGAGTCCTTGCTAGGTATTTGAAGAATGGTTCCACCAACATCAAGAACTGGATGGCAGCCAGGTAAGAGAGTAGAACTAAATTGATTTCTGTCTTTTCTAATTCACACTAAATATATGTTAAAAAACCGAATACAACTTTATGGTATATTTTACTAATCATGAGTTTTATTGTATACAACAATTTACATTGTCAGCATCATGATGACAAGATCATGTTCAGAGTGAAACAGTAAAATGAAAATTTCATTCATGAAATTTGAACACAATCATGCAGCTGTCCCCATTATTTCTATTAATAGATATAGATAATTTAGTCTGTCATAGAAATACTATTTAGATAGCATTTAAAACCGGATATATTAAATTGTTTACATTCCTAATGTCATGTAATATTTTAAAAGGCCTTCCGCGTGAAGGGCCTATATATATCCTTTCTTGGAATTATTCATGTCTTACAAATGAATGAAGATTAAGTAAGCTTACATTAAGATATAATGCAGGTCAACAAATAAACTGTATTGACAGGTACATTAGTATGTATGATTTTCATTCACAATTCTACGAATTCTCATTTTTTGGGTGTTTTTATGAATATTATGTAATTCGTAATAACTGCAAGCAAGAATATTTAAAATAATTTTGAAGTGAAGTCTTTAACAGGGCAGTTCTGGTATGCAAAATTTTAATTATTAAAAACGTTGTAAATTATACCTGAAAATATTTCTAAAGTGTGCTATTTGATAGTAAATCGATGTATTGTATCGTGATGTCGTGTATCGATACTTGACGATACCTTTGATTCCATTAAAAGCAGAGATTTTTATAAGTTGGTTTATGATATAACAATTTTTATAACTGAAATTGTAATAAACTTTTTATAAGGCAGTGGACAATAACCACTTCTATCAACTATATTACCAAATATCACAGTTATAAAGTTATAAATAATATATATAGTAACTATTTATAAGACAGTGGACACTAGCCACTTCTATCAACTATATTACCAAATATCACAGTTATAAAGTTATAAATTAATATATATAGTAACTATTTATAAGACAGTGGACACTAGCCACTTCTATCAACTATATTACCAAATATCACAGTTATAAAGTTATAAATTAATATATATAGTAACTATTTATAAGACAGTGGACGTTAACCACTCCTATCAACTATATTACCAAATATCACAGTTATAAAGTTATAAATTAATATATATAGTAACTATTTATAAGACAGTGGACGTTAGCCACTTCTATCAACTATATTACCAAATATCACAGTTATAAAGTTATAAATTAATATATATAGTAACTATTTATAAGACAGTGGACAATAACCACTTCTATCAAATATATTACCAAATATCACAGTTAATAAGTTATAAATTAATATATATTGAAACTTTGAAGATAAAATGATAATTTTCATCCCATGACCCTTGTATGGTATCGTATCATATCGTGACCCTTGTATCGCGAGATGTATCATATCATGACCCATGTATTGCATTATGACCCTTGTATTGCGATATATATCGTATCATGACCCTTGTATCGTGATATGTATCAACAATACCCAGCACTACTATTTACCTCTCTGTAGATCTACTTGATAAAATTAGTATTAAAAGGGTTAATTGAAAATGGAGAATACTAATTGTTAATTAACCAGTTTTTGTGTTTGGCTTTATAATGGCTCGTTATTATTAATTGAAACCTTCAGAGTATGTAGGAGAAAAATTTATATAATTAAACATTAATTTTGCTTTAATCTGTACAGTAGTTTTCTTACACCTATCAAAAAGCATAACGATTTTAAAACATTTACGTAAACCATTTAAATAGATTTAGTTTCAAAAAAGTTGTGGTAAAACTTTCAGATTAATGAACATGTTTCTCCAAATTTTGATGAATAGTTTTCATAAAATTAGACAAAAAAAATTTCGACCTGCAAAAAAAAGCAGAATGTCCCTTTAAATGGCATTTCACAATGTTAAGTAGATATATACATATATAGACACACCTTTAGGTAACAGCAATCACTGAGTAATGTTGTTCTCTTGTGTAACTTGGTTTTCTAAATTTTTTATGTGCATCAATTTGCACCATTCATATTTTCAATCAGACTTCTGTGGTTCACTTCAATCAGACTTCTGTGGTTCCTGCAATTCCACTTAAAACTAAGTGTTTGATGACATCACTAATCGCAAAATATGCTTGTATCTCATAAGGCCTTTGGTATTAGTGACATCATCAAACACTTAGTTTTGTGAGAATTGCAAGAACCACAGATGTTTGACTGAAAATTGGAATGGCTTAAAATTTGAAGGTGTTGTTGAAACATTAAGCCTTTTCCAAAATTCAACTCATTAAGTCTAAAAAGAGATTCAAAATGGCCGTGAGCTATGTTCGTGTGGGTTATTTCCATGTTAGAACCATATGTAGTTTCGTGTGATATCTTACTGTCTGATGGCATACCTTGCCTGTCAAATTTCACAAGTCCTCTGTTACCTTCCCTTGCACCAGACTGGGGGTACAAATAGAGGGCAGACTGACTCAATGGGGGGACAACTGCTGAGGCTGAATTAAAATTTTGGCTACTCTGTGGTGGTCTCATAGAGCGTCTTAGAGGGTTCTCTCATGAAAATTTTAGAAAAAATGAATTGATTTTGTGCATTCTGACACATTTTTTGGAGAAAAAGGTAGACATTTAGATTTGTTGAAAATAAAGTCGGGGTACAATTGGGGGTGCAAACCACTTTTCTAGTAGGGCAAATTACCCCTCCCCCATATATCCTCACTGGCACCACCTGCCTCCCACCCTTCTTTCCCTTTTTTCACTCTCTACCTAAATAATGCATCTTCTAAAGATTTCTGAAATGTGATAAAATGTCTGTTTTTCAGATCCACCAGTAAAAATGCCGAACTTCTTCAGACAAGTGGGTTTGTTGCTATGGAAAAATTTCGTGATCCAAAGAAGAAAGATCTGCGTATCCATATTTGAGATTATTTTGCCGGTATTATTTGCTGCATTGCTGTTGGTCGTAAGAATAGCTATAGTCGCTACAGAAATAGACACATCTACGATTTACCCTAGTAAGAATCTGATGTTTTCTGCAGGAGGCGGACCTAACTTACCGATCTATTACGCCCCCAATACCACCCTCATTAATAATGTTATGGATGATTATATACTAGAGCTCAACAATTCAGGTAAATCACTTTTTTCTTGTATTTTATCTACAGGTTTGTTTTGAGCAATCCATAGTAATTTTCAGAATGAAAAATTGACATCAGGTTGGTCTACAATGTGACAAGAATTTCAGTGATAATGATGTACTAGACAGGTTTTAGTTATGTCATTTTGAGTAAACTATTAATATTCCAACTACCATACTAGACCTTGACTGCAATGGCCACCTTTCTTGAGTCACAGATGCATTTTCAAACTTTTATGACACAAGAATAATGGCTATTACAGTCAAGGTATAATTATAAAGTGGTGGAAAAGAGAACATTACATATCTCTGCAGTATGTATACTTTTTTTTTCACATCTAATTAGCTAAAGCTCTTCACAAGCTGATGAAACATGGTAATTTAGTAATTATGGATGGAACTTTCTAATATAGCTTTATGAGTAAAGGATAAATAGAAGTTATAAATGGTATGAATTATTGATCATCATTATAAGATGTGTTGATGATATTACATACCTGATATTGATTATAATGAACAGCATTATTTTAGAGTTCATTAACCAGGACGCTGACTGAGCTAGGTTCAATAAATAGGACTCTATTTGAGAAATCTATAAGCTTACTCTTTGACATTTTAAACAACAACCATTATATAATAAACGCCTTCTGGAACCATTGTTGTATGTTATTCAGGATATTGATTGGAAATCATCAATATTATTAGATATTGAACAAACAATATATCTTCTATAGAAATATGGTATCAAAGGGATTTATTCGTGAGTGATAATGAACAAAATCATCATGCAAAATTTATTATAGATATTTCTGAATAGCCGTTTTCGCACTGCCGAAGAAAGTTATCTCGATAACTTTTTGTTTTTAGTAATATGTCATATCACAGTTGACAAAATGGAAGTTCAATTTGATCTACAATGTTCATCATTATAAAATATGAATTTCCTATGTATATTCGTGTACTTAATTAATCCCTTTCTTGTGTTTTCCAAGTACCGGTATTTCAATTATAATGTCCCCATCAACATATTATTATACCCCCTAATCTGAACAACTTCTCATTTGGTTTCGTATTGCCACTTATCTGGATCTTATCCAGAGGATATCCAAATCTGGAGGCCGGGAGATTTTTCTATCTGGAAGACTTTGGTTATAACTAAACATAACTTTATTTACCAGTGCAAAAGCAACTGGAAGTTATTCAGATAGAACTGGGTAGAATCAAACTTTTGCAGAGCTAAAGGCTTAATAATCAGTTAGATCATTGGATACTTTACATAACTTCATTTGCATGGTTACTTCAAACAAATTTAGTGGTTGTGGGTTCTTATCTTTGACATTTAAAAAAACATTATTATATAACTTCTGATTCGCCAAGTGGAACATTTATTGTAGAATTTCAACATAAGATATTTATTAATTATGGCTTTTTCAACAAGATCAGATAGTCTAACAAATGCAAAAAAATATATTTCCTTTTCTTCTTCTAATTTCTAAAGGGTTTATTCTTGGGTGATTTTTACAATATCACCATGCTCTATCAAAATCTGTTTATTTTTTTGTCTTCTTTCTTGAAGAGTTCTGTATCCTTGAAAACATAACATGATATCATTTGCTTGGCTAAATCAAACAAACGGTGGTGATAGGCTCAAGTCTAAGTCTGTGTATGAAAGTCTGGTGACATTCATAATGACATTCTTACAATTGTTAAAGTTGTGCATCATGTGATGCGCAAACCACCTCTATGATATCATGTCCCTTCTCTCCTATTATGAACTTTGTACTTATACCTTGACTGCTATGGCCACTATTCTTGTATCACAGAATGCAGTGATTTGATTAGATTTTAAGACAGCGAATGCAGCGAATCAGAGCTCTTGACAGACAAGCTGTCAACATTATGGTTTTGCGTTCACAGATTTTCTGCCGAGGCGTCTGATTGGCTATATTTGCTAGTTTACAATCCTATCAAATTGCTTCATTTACAAACTTCCTTGTTTGAAGAACAAGGTATAAGTACAAATTTCATAATAGGCAAGATCAGCCATGATGTTATAGAGGTGGTATGCGTATCAAATGATGCACAACAGTTGCGAGATTACCAATTGTTCTTCTCAAGTCATGCATATGTTCTATATTTAGCATATCACGACAAAGCTGATTTCTCCTAGAGCTTGTTGGGACTTTATACCAATGTAATGGAGATAAACCTACAGAAACAATATCTTAAATCTGAATAATAATATTTCTGCATTGTAAATCATAAGATTGGGTCAAAGTTGATGTTTAACTTGACCTGAAGGGGATATAAATTAAAACCATTTGTCCACTTTGATAACAAACGTGTTATTATTGGGAAATAGATTTACTGAATATCCATTTAAAAATGAATTTCTTTGACTTTGAATGATTTTAAAAACATATGTTCATAGCTCTGTTTTGCTATACATGTCTTTAACATTAATTTTGAATGGCTGATACAACTAAACAAAAGAAATCAAAGGCTTACTATGATTAAAAGGGAACAGTCAGCTTTTTCAGGGATTGATTTAGGTCTTTATTGTGCCTTAATAGTCTTAAGAAGTACAAAAAATCACATAATTCCTTCAAATATACTTCAAACTAGAAATTTCACTGTCTATTCCTATATATGTGTTTTCTATATGTGTTTTCTATATATGTGTTTTCTATATATGGCACAATATTCGAGTCAAATTTTTAACTTTCAAACATGAGTGATTATGGATTTGAAGGCTCAAATTTCTGATTATTCACTGATTATGTAAGCTATAAATCTTCCTGTTACTGAAACTAAGGTATGATTGGTCGAACTGATAGTGAAGGTGCTTCTTTAAGGCCATGGTTTGCAAATTTCGATTAGTACATGTACTAGAAATGTTAAAACAAAAATCGTACAATCCCGACAAATATACCCCAATTTGTCAATAAAAGACGAGTCTGGACACACATGGATTTGAAGCAAGCTGTGAACACTATTACTGAATAGCTTAGCCAATCATGTTTCTGAGACTAAGGTACAACTATTTACATTTTTACGAGAGTCAAATGAACCCCCCCAAAATGGCGAATCTATCCCTTTAAGTTGGAAGTCCGACAAGAGTGGTTGATTAGTGCGTCTGTCTTTAACTTTTACATTTATATTAGTTTTCAATTAAAGGTTTACAAGTTAGATTTTATGATATTGTCATGACAACCAGAAGTAGTAAGCTTTGGTTATCAGACTTTATTCTATAGAAACCTTATAAAGCTTAAAGATGGGTTCCCTTTATTTTTATTTATGAAAATGAAAATGCCAATACTTACATGAATAGAAAGTAGAGGTGTTCTAATGACCTGGAAAATACCTGTTTGTCTCACATGTCCATGATTAATTCATAATTAGCTAAATTAGAAGAGAATTACTAGCAGAATTCCAATGAGTGACCGATCAAGAAAGGTCAAAAAGTCTTTTGTGTTTATCCAGACTGTACATACATTGACATTTATAATTGGTGAAGACTCAATTAGAAACACCAATTAATCAAATAGTTTGCTTAATTTGACACTAAAAAATAAGGAAACAAAATCTTTAATGAATATATTATCAATTATAATTCTTACTTGAAATAATTCAAATAACTCTTAAATTAAAGTCAGATTTTGAGACATTGTATGTTATAAGACATCATTAAGTTTAGGCATGATTCTATCAAGGAATGATTTAAGAATGCAATTTCCTGTGAATGTTGTAATTACTGATAACATTATTTATAATTGATGATATCTGAATTGATCTATTCCTTTGTTTTTTTTTTAAAAAAAATTCTAGATTGATGAAAAATTTGTAGCTTAATTGAGAGAGGAGATAGTTCGTTTTCAAAATTTAATTAAAGTGATACTACATTTAAGAATAAACATAAAATTGAAGTTCTCAAGAATGGTCAATATGAGTATATATATTCATCAGTTAGCTTACCTGGTGTCATAAAGTTACAACAGAATCCCTGTAAAATCTAGAAAATTCATAAAACTAAGTAATAATTAAAGTTTTTTTGATTTATCGGATTATATAAGGATTCTGTTATGTTATTTATGACACCAGGTATATCTACTGATGAATATATACTCTTATTGGCCAAGTTTAAAATTCTTAAATTTTATCTTCATTCTAAGACGTAGTATTCCTTTAAATAGTTGAAATACAAAAACGAGTGGGAAAAATAAATGTTTCCCTCATTGCACCCTGCATGACGTTGCTTCATTAGCCCACGTGGTACTGAAAAGTAGGAAGTAAAACTTCATTTCATTTTTTTTTTTTTTTTAAAATATTCATTTGTGATATAAACATCACTGTTGAATCCTTACTGTTTTATCTATCAAGAAGTAAGCTTATGTCGGGTATTTTCAGATTGTTTTGGAAGGTTGCCTTCATTTATGAACTGTTGAACTGTTTCTATATTTTAGCTCAGTTCACCAGCAAGGGATTTCCCTCAGAGAAAGCATTGTTAGATTATTATATCATTGATGCTAATGTTACCCTAGCTATCGTATTCAATGGTGTTACATCATCTGATACCACTCTACCAAAATCAATTCGCTACTCCTTACGACCCAAACCAGCTACTCGTAGAGACTGGAGAACAGCTGATAATGTACCCTTTGTTCAAAATGGAGGACCACGATCTGGATTGCCTAGTAAGTAAAACAAATAGTTTGATTTTAATTCTACTAAATAAGTATGATTGCTGGTTTAACCAGCAAGACAAGTCTGGCTCATTCTTGTGGAATACCTGATGTTACTCTACAACAGGGTGTGTCAACTCGATGACGATGGCAGTTTGGTGACAATGGTTGATGTATAATATGAAGGAAGGAATAATTAAGATACAAAATGAAACTGATCGAAATGTTGTCAATATTTAGTATTTTCATTATCTTGCCAACTTATATTTCAGATTATCTTCAAACAAATTTCATCTTTCACCAAGTTGCGTTAGATTTGGCTATTATTAGATCATGGAACTCCTCAGTAAATACTTCAGGACTGGTGTTTGAGACTCAGAAAATGCCATATCCACCATATATTCAAGATCCAATGATTTTCATTCTGCAAGTGAATTTTCCACTACTCTTGTGCTTAAGTTTCATGTTGAATGTGGTGATTACAACTAAAACATTGATCTTAGAAAAAGAAAAAAAACTCAAGGTAAAGATTTTATTTCATCATTTTGACGGAACATACCTTAGTCACAGAAACTGGAATTTTTCGGCTAAGCTAATCTGATATAGTGTTCACAGCTCATCGGCCAAATTTGAGCCTTCAATTCCACGTTTGTCCAGAATTATCCAAGTTTCAATGTTAAAATGATAACTCGTCAATTTAAGATAGTCTGTTATGTATAGAAAAGACATATATAGAAATAGTGAGTAAAATTCCTAGTTAAAAGAATTTTAAAGGAAATGGCGAACTTGTCCCTTTAATAATGTTGTTAAAACAACTGTGCAAGGTCCACTTTCACAAAATCCTAACTTAAGGTGATTTTAAAGTTCCAGTCATTTGATTGGTCAATCACTGAAATTGGTTATAAATCTAGCTTTCTTAACCAATCAAATTTCTGGAAATCCAGGCAAAAATATATGAAACAGAGGCTATCATTCTATGATTTTGAAATATCTGTATCATGGACTGAGTGAAGAGATGAAAAAAAAACACTACTACTTTACAACCATGAAACTCTCATATTTAAAGGTAACAAATCAGTGGGCACACATCTTTAATATTCAAATTGATTCCATTTTTTCTGTGTTTCAGGAATCCATGAAATTGATGGGTTTGAATAATACAGCCTACTGGACTTCATGGTTTATAACAGTCCTCATATATTTAACAGTTGCCATGGCGTTGTATACTATACTTTTGGGTGTCTCTATTGCCCCAAAGGGACCTGTTTTGAACAATTCGAATCCACTGATATTTTTTATATTTCTGATGGCTTATGGTTTATCCATTATTTCCTTTAGTTTTTTGATGGCTGTTATTTTTGATAAAGGTATGAAACTTTTATAGATATCTGTCCTCATAGATTTCAAAATCATTTACATTAGGGCTGGATAAATACTGGTATAGGAATATATGTTGTTAATAATATCGCCTGATTCAAAAATACCCAAATATCACCATATCATGATATACAGTAATTATTGCTATATCATCAAATTTTTGTACAGATAAGATCATCTACACAATTCCAACAAGTAGCTTAATATTTGAAACAGATGTTTTTTTCATGATGTTAAAGACTAGGGTGTTTTCAGAGATATTTATTGTTTTATGTTACATTTAAAATTTCTAGATCATAATTTTGTATCAAAAACCAGTAAAAAACATACCAAAATAATATCGCGATATATACCCATATCATGATATCAACTTGAACCAATATCGCCCACCCTTAACTTACATCAAAATAGAACTTGGGTCTTTGGGTTGATGAAAATATCGATCGATGAGAAAAAATAGTTATTTGGAATCATGAATTATAGAGGACAATTTTCAGACTGGAATGTTTTTGTTCAGGCAAAATTATTTTAGAAGGGGAGCGTATATTGCTAAAGTAAAAAAATCAAACCGAAAATTGTACTCAGCAACCAATGACAAACACTTGTTAATTTTATTTTGGATTTTCTTGAAATGATGGAAAAAAAATCAATTTAGACTTCACAGTGCTCAGGGGAAATCTCTAAAGAGACAGATGCACCATTTTTTTGACCAATCGTACATATATAGAAAAAAAACTTTATAGGAATAGATTTCATGCTATATATTTTATATGGATTTCATGCTATATTTATATAAAGATGTCATGCTATATTTTTATATGTATTTCATGCTATATTTTTATAAAGATGTCATGCTATATTTTTATGTAGATGTCATGCTATATTTTTATAAAGATGTCATGCTATATTTGTATATAGATTTCATGCTATATTTTTATAAAGATGTCATGATATATTTTTATAAAGATGTCATGATATTGTTTTTTTATAAAGATGTCATACTATATTTTGATATAGATTTCATGCTATATTTTTATGTAGATGTCATACTATATTTTTATATAGATTTCATGCTATATTTTATATAGATTTCATGCTATATTTTATGTAGATGTCATGCTATATTTTTATATAGATTTCATGCTATATTTTATATAGATTTCATGCTATATTTTTATAAAGATGTCATACTATATTTTTATATAGATTTCATGCTATATTTTTATGTAGATGTCATACTATATTTTTATATAGATTTCATGCTATATTTTATATAGATTTCATGCTATATTTTATGTAGATGTCATGCTATATTTTTATTCATAGATTTCATGCTGTATTTTATATAGATTTCATGCTATATATTATATAGATTTCATGCTATATATTATATAGATTTCATGTTATGTATTTTTATATAGATTTCATGCTATATTTTTATGTTGATGTCATGCTATATATTTTATAGATTTCATGCTATGTATTTTTGATTTCATGCTATATTTTTATGTAGATGTCATGCTATATTTTGTATATTTTCAGCTAATATTGGAGCGGCAGCTGCTGGAATTCTATATTTTATGAGCTATGTACCATATTTTTTCATTAGCACAAGTTATGAAACTATGACTAGAAGTCAGAAACTGGCTGCCTGTTTATTGAATAATCTAGGAATGTCACTGGGAGCCTACACTATTGGCTTATACGAGGGAACAGGTATTTACTTTATATTATTTTTATTGATATAAATTTATTATTATTTTATGCATTATTATTATATTAGCTTACTGTTATTATGGATAAAGATAAAAAGTCAAAATCTCTTTTTTGCTTTCGACTTTGATTTACTATTTTCACATATTTATAATGCTTCTTTAGGCCTAAAAATACATGAAATGGCAAAAAAATCCACAGTATAGGTAAAAGCAAAGCAATAAGTTTCAAATTACTAGTAAAAAGAGTGCAATAGAAATTACTATTAGACTATTTTAGAATGTATGTCTTTATAGGAATTTTACATTTTTTTTATTCTTTATTATTCATTAATTTACCATTATTCATTATTTTGTACCATTATTCATTATTTTGTACCATTATTCATTATTTTTTTTACCATTATTCATTATTTTACCACTATTCATTATTTTTACCATTATTCAATGTTATTACCATTATATACCATTCATTATTTAAAATATTATTTATACCATAATTATTCATTATTTAAAATATTATTTATACCATAATTATTCATTATTTGAATATTATTTAAACCATAATTATTCTCATTGTTTAAATATTATTTAAACCATAATTATCCATTATTTAAATATTATTTTTATGTTCTAGGAGAAGGTGTCCAATGGAGTAATATGGCTGACCCAGCAACTATAGATGATAATTTCTCTCTATTAGATGCTATATTACTATTACTGGGAGATACTGTGATATATTTGATATTTGTGTGGTATATTGATAATGTATACCCTGGAGAATTCGGAGTGGCCAAACCATTTTACTTCCCGTTTACTGTAAGTTAGATATACTCTACAATATTAAGAATTTTAAAGAGCTTTTCTAAATTTTATTTGTATCAGGAACATTGATAGTATCAGTTTGCATCATTATAATTTTCAATCAAACGTCTGTGGTTCCTGTAATTCCACAAAAACTAAATGTTTGATGACATCATGTCCTCATCAAATGTGAAGCTGCAAATTGTCATTACCTCATCAAGCACATCTAGAAATATATTGAAATAAGGATGATTCACGTGAATTAATTGATCCCAGATGAAAATTGAAATTTTCAGAAATCCTACTGGTGTGGTGTATCTAGTCAAGATTTTACTCGATTAGAAGCAACTAATGATAATGCTAGTCACTTTGAGAAAGAACCAACTGGTGTACGAGCTGGAATCTCCATTACAAATCTTAAAAAGGTGAGACTTTGGAAAATAAATATAGTGCATTTCTGCACCTGATTTGTCTTAAAGATAGGTTTCCTTATTTTAGTGTCAAATTAAGCAAACTATTTGATTAATTAGTGTTTCTAATGAATTATCATTTATTCTAAATCATATTGTATTTTTTTATTGCATATAAAAGTTTAAACCAATCATAAATGTCTGTGTATGTTCAGTCTAGATAATCAAAAAAGACTTTTTGACCTTTCTTGATCGGTCACTCATTGGAAATCTGCTGGTAATTCTCTTCTAATGAACTAATTGTGAACTAATGGACATGTAGAACACCTCTACTTTCTATTCATATAATTATTAACATTCTCATTTTCATGAATGAAAATAAGGAAACCCATCTTTAAGATACAGAGCAACACCATGCTGTGTGCAATAAGAGACAGTTTGTAAGATGAAGGGCATATACGTTTTCCTTGCATTTCTAACTGTAGAAGAATCTCCGCACATAGAACTACATCTCAGATTTTGATTTTGAAGATAGTAGAAATTGTAAGGTAAGGTTTTTCCCCTTTAAGTTGTAACAATGCCTTTTGTACAATGCAGGAATTCAAGATGGCTGGCAAGAGGAAACTTGCTGTTGATGATTTGAATTTAAATGTCTATGATGGGCAAATTACAGTTTTATTGGGACACAATGGTGCAGGGAAGACTACTACAATGTCAATGTTGACAGGTAAACTTTCAAATCAGTTGTTACATCCTGCTGCACTGAAACTCATTAGGTACTCACAGGCAATGTGTGTAATTGGTTGTTGTGATATTAATGGTGTTGTATTATTTTAGGTTTATATCACCTACAAGTGGTACAGCTATTGTTAATGGTTGTTGCGATATTAATGGTGTTGTATTATTTTAGGTTTTATATCACCTACAAGTGGTACAGCTATAGTTAATGGTTGTTGTGATATTAATGGTGTTCTATTATTTTAGGTTTTATATCACCTACAAGTGGTACAGCTATAGTTAATGGTTGTTGTGATATTAATGGTGTTATATTATTTTAGGTTTTATATCACCTACAAGTGGTACAGCTATAGTTAGTGGTTGTTGTGATATTAATGGTGTTGTATTATTTTAGGTTTTATATCACCTACAAGTGGTACAGCTATAGTTAATGGTTGTTGTGATATTAATGGTGTTATATTATTTTAGGTTTTATATCACCTACAAGTGGTACAGCTATAGTTAATGGTTGTTGTGATATTAATGGTGTTATATTATTTTAGGTTTTATATCACCTACAAGTGGTACAGCTATAGTTAATGGTTGTTGTGATATTAATGGTGTTATATTATTTTAGGTTTTATATCACCTACAAGTGGTACAGCTATAGTTAATGGTTGTTGTGATATTAATGGTGTTATATTATTTTAGGTTTTATATCACCTACAAGTGGTACAGCTATAGTTAATGGTTGTTGTGATATTAATGGTGTTATATTATTTTAGGTTTTATATCACCTACAAGTGGTACAGCTATAGTTAATGGTTGTTGTGATATTAATGGTGTTATATTATTTTAGGTTTTATATCACCTACAAGTGGTACAGCTATAGTTAATGGTTGTGATGTTACTAAAGATATAAATGGTGTTAGAGCTAGTTTGGGATTATGTCCACAGCACAATGTGTTGTTTGATACCATGACAGTAGATGAACATCTAGAATTTTTTTCTCTGGTTTGTAATAATTACTGAGTTATTCATAAACGAATTGACCAGCTTGGAGACCAAAGTTGTTTGATCATCTGTGACAAAAATGAAAAACAAAAATAATTTTTCTCCAAAATTTAACACTTTATTCCGCATCATTAAATTTGTCATTTCCAGTTGGATGATGACTTACATAAAAAGATTTTCACTATTTTGATCTCCAGACCCTTCATCTTCTCATTATATACAATATAAATGGCATTAAAGGAACAGCTGCACCATTTAAGGGGACTGTTTTGAGTCTTGAAAATATGTAATTATTATTAATATGTAAATATTAAATGATTGTCTTCAGAAGTAGTAGAAATGTACGAATATCGCATAATTCCTTCAAAAATATCTCAAACATTCAAACGCTGATAATTCTGGCACCAAATAGACTTTAATACAAAAACTGATACCATTACATTTTTTGATTCTCCAAACAGGGTGCTGTAAAACCCAATGTATCATCTTCCGTATAGAGTCAGCATGAATTCTTCGTCAAAGCCAATCACCTCAATAATTATTGTAGTGGAGCTGAAAATAACTTGAGTAAAAAAACAAATAATCAAGGATAACGCCAAATGGTCCAAAGGATTATGTTTACCAGCTGGTCCTTGACCAAGGATCTCTTGTTGATCTTTCTGAAATTATCCATACACAATTTATAGCTGGGGTCCAGTGTGGAATAATCAGGAACCATGACTTCTTCCAGGTCATCAGACTTTCACTCACCATTTTTAAAACGTAACCAGTGATGTCATGTAGTTTTTCAATTCACTAACTGATTGTACTACAGCTAGTCCTGTTTAGAGATTATCACCAAATAATTTACAAATTTATTTTCATATATTTTAGTTGAAGGGAGGAAACAGGAAGACATTAAAAGAAGATGTTACAGCTATGGCAACTGAAATAGGTCTAGAAACCAAGAGGAATACCAGATCCATGCATTTATCAGGAGGTCAGAAGAGGAAACTTTGTGTAGGAATTGCCTTGATATCAGGGTCAAAGGTGAGATCTGAAAAAAAGAAAAAACCTTAAAGGGATATAACTGTTGTCCATATCTTTGAATTTGCAACAGATTTTCAGCTTCCCATTTCACAATGACAAATTTTCACCTACATAATATATTACCTCGTAACATTATGGAATTTTCTTACGAGTGTGTTATAAAGGATTATATATTCATCAGTCTTAAAGATGGGTTCCCTTATTTTCATTTATGAAAATAAAAAGCTAATACTTATATGAATAGAAAGTAGAGGTGTTCTAATGACTTAGAAAAATACTTGTTTGTCTCACATGTCCATAATTAATTCAAAATTAGCTACATTAGAAGAGAATTAACCGCAGAATTCCAATGAGTAACCGCTCAAGAAAGATCAAAAAGTCTTTTTGTTTATCCAGACTGTATTTATATTGACATTTATGATTGGTTAAAAACCCTTTATCATATTCGATAAGAACAAAATGTTATGATTAAGAATACATGTTTCATTAGAAACACCAATTAATCTAATAGTTGGCTTAATTTGACACTAAAAGAAATAAAGAAACCCATCTTTAACTATTTATTTATAAAGCACCATTGAATGCTCATGTAAAAGCAGTGCTAAGCGCTATACTCAATAATCTTAATCTTAACTATACAACAGAATTCTATTTATAATCTGATAAATTCTTAATCCATATTATCATTTTATCATTGAAAAATATTTTCCAGATCGTAATTTTGGACGAACCCACGTCTGGTATGGACCCAGCAGCCAGACGTCAAACCTGGGAAATTTTACAGCGTAACAGATCATCTCGTACAATCCTGCTGACCACCCATTTTATGGATGAGGCTGATTTACTAGGTGATAGAATAGCTATCATGTCAGAGGGCCATGTCAAATGCTGTGGAAGCTCTCATTTCCTCAAAAAACTTTATGGTAAGTGATTTTGAATAGTTGAGTATGTAACTACAGAGTACAATCTGATTAAAATGAAGATCTGAACTCTCTGTTTTGTGCTTTCGATAGGTGACTTCTTTTGCCATGCTGTGGCATCATTTCCTTAAGATCTATCTACCAGCTGACCTAACCTCTTGGTGTCTAACATTGACCATTATGTTTAAGAAAATTTCCCCATTCAAGTTTGTGGTTACCACAAAGTGAAAAGAAACAACAACCATCATATTCTCAACATAGGAATGCAAATGTCCTAAATTTTCAATGCTCTAACAGACTGAGCTACAGTCTGTCAACAGGCTGAAAGATTTATTGGATGCTGAACTGTTCCTCGAAAGCTTAGATGCTCAGTTTTGCAAAGGAAATGACCTTTATTCTAGGTGCTGGATATCATTTGGTTATAGTCAAGTCTGAAGGATGTAACGTATCCATGGTGACACAGGTGGTTCAGCAGCACATTCCAGCAGCGTTTCTAGAAAGTCAGCTAAGTGCCGAGATCTCTTACTTACTACCTAACGAAGATTCTGATAAGTTTGCTAAACTGTTTGCCGAAATTGAAGATAAGAAAGAAAAACTTGGAATCAACCATTTTGGAACATCAGCTACCACCATGGAAGAAGTGTTCTTGAAGTAAGAATTTGATTTTTGAACTTGGACAAAATTAGATATTTCATGTGGATTGAATCTTTTGAGTCTGGCTGTGGAATTGGGTGCAATGGCTATCATGAAAAAGAGGTAAATTAAACAGGTCCAGGCCTCAGTTCTTGCCAGTTCTGAACATTGGGATGCATGTTCCACATCAGCCCTTCTGATGTGCAACACTGAGAATTTGAAATCCAGATGAAAAAATCCAAAGGTAATATCTGAACCCATGTGGGTATTTCATCAGTAACCTCTTGATCTTACCTTAGCCAATCCATTAGCTAGCCCAGGGTTTAAAGGGGTAACAGGGGGCAGGTTCCAATCGTTCTTGAACATGCTCTTTCTATTCCATGGGCTAAACCTTGTCAATTTGGTGTAGTGAACATAATTCTGACCCATGTCAGTTTCTTATGAGTAGCTTTGATTCTTCAGTAACCTTTCCTTAAAGCCCCACAATTATTATTTTTAGAGTTGGTGAAGGTGTTGAAGATGAAGATGGTGTGGCAGATGTAGGGAACAATGTTTTTAAGAATCCTGGTTACATCACTGATAATGGTGATACTAATAATAGTAACAACCAAGTCAATGGAGTCAATGGAAGTTCCAACATTGATATAGATTCTGGAGATGTCCTGTGTAAGTAATTTCTTTTTTGGTAATTCATAAATGAAACTGTAAACAATCTCCTTGAAGTGATAACAATGAGGATGTCAGATTTTAAAGGGACAGATGCTCCATTTTTTTTTGGACCAATCATACTTTAGTCTCAGAAACAGGAATTTTTTGTTAAGGTAATCAGTAATAGTCTTCACAGCTCACCGTCGAAATTTGAGCCTTCAAATCAATGTGTGTCCAGAATTGATTGCAAATGAATATTAAAATGACGACTCGTCAATTTAAGATACTCTGTGATATACATAAAAAACATACATAGAAATACTGAGTAAAATTTCTAGTTTGAAGTATTTTTAAAGGAATTATGCGATTTTTGTTCATTTCTAGTTCTTCTGAAGACTAATTACATATATTCAAGACTCAAATCAACATCTCAAAATGTCACACCTGTCCCTTTAATCTGAAAAGTGATATAGATGGGTGAAATTGAGTTCTAGCAGCAAATATTATAACCAACTGAACCCCTTAAAAGAAAGTAGAACTGTTGTTTGTATCATTGATTTTGTTTGTTTCAGCCTTCAACAGAGGTTTTCAAAGAGTGTCTGGTTTCTCCCTAGAAATGTCCAGATTTTATGGCATGTTTGTCAAAAAGGTGATCCACACAATGCGAAATAAACTAGTCACAATAGTACAGCTTTTAGTACCAGTACTGGCAACTTGTGCAGCTCTGGCCATTGCTGAAGTACAAACTGATGTTGCTCAAGAACCTTCACTATCTCTGGATCTGTCTCCATTCGGCAGCACATCAAGCATGGTGGCAGTGACAACAGCAACCTCTGGAAATGATGTCATGGCTGATAAATATGAAACTTTGTTTACTTCACCTCATTCCATTACCCGCCTGACATCTACTCAAGCTCAAAATGTCTCTACTTATTTCATTGAAAAAGGCTCAGAGTTGGGAGTGGGTGTCTACAACCGAAGAGTTCTAATTGGAGGAGAGTTCAGCTCTGATGGAAGTACGAACAAAGCCACGATTCACTATAATGGTCAACCATATCATAGTGTAGCCATTTCCACGGAGTTCATGATGAACGCTCTAGCTAGATACTTCACTAATGACGACACAGTGAATATTCAGACCGATAATTATCCATTACCTATTGATGCAGAAGACAATTCTGTAGCATCCTCCTTCTCAAATATTTTGTTTGGATTTCTCATAGCTTTCTGTCTGTTATTTGGAATGGCATTCTTGTCCAGCAGTTTTGTGGTCTTCCTGATCAAAGAGCGACAAGTTGGTGCCAAACATTTACAGAAAGTGAGTGGAGTGGGTACCTTAGTATACTGGTTTTCTAACTTTGCCTGGGATTTTATAAACTATCTTCTACCATGCCTGTTGATACTCATTGTCTTTGCTGCTTTTGGAACAGAGGCCTATATAAGCGACTCTAATTTAGGATATGTATTCTTGTCGTTTCTGGTGTATGGATTATGTATTCTACCCTATGGTTACTGTCTACAATATATGTTTTCAACTCCTGCTACTGGAGTGGTAGTAATGATTATTCTCAATGTATTTGCTGGTAAGTTCAACCATTTCTCTTTAGAACAGGTAGAGATTGACTTCTAAAAATAAATAATCGGCTTACTGATAACAGAGTTTAATCTGAACTGTAAAGTAACACTTAAAGGTACACTAATAACTTTTAAATAACACTAGTGACAGTGTTTACTTGAACTTTTCAGCAACAACGATGACAGTGTTTATCTGAACTTTTCAGCAACACTATTTACAGTGTTTATCGAAATTTTTCAGCAACACTATTGACAGTGTTTATCTGAACTTTTCAGCAACACTGATGACAGTGTTTATCTAAACTTTTCAGCAACACTATTTACAGTGTTTACCTGAACTTTTCAGCAACACTGATGACTGTTTATCTAAACTGTTAAGTAATACTAATGACAGCGTTTATCTGAACTTTTCAGCAACACTGATGACAGTGTTTATCTAAACTGTTAAGTAATACTAATGACAGTGTTTATCTGAACTTTTCAGCAACACTAATGTCAGTGTTTATCTAAGCTATAAAAATAGTGCTCATCTGAACTGTTAAGTAACACTAATAACTGTGCTTATCTGAATTAGTCACTGAACACTAATAACAGTGTTTATCTGAACTATTAAGTAACACTAATAACTGCTTATCTGAATTAGTCACTGTTTATTTGAACTTTTAAGTAACACTAATAACAGTGTTTATTTGAACTTTTAAAGTACCACTAATAACAGTGTTTATTTGAACTTTTAAAGTAACACTAATAACAATGTTTATTTGAACTGTGAAGTACAATAATAACAGTGTTAATATATTGTTTATAGGTTTGGTAACGCTGTTAACAGTGTTTATTTGAACTTTTAAAGTAACACTAATAACAATGTTTATTTGAACTTTTAAAGTAACACTAATAACAATGTTTATTTGAACTGTGAAGTACAATAATAACAGTGTTAATATATTGTTTATAGGTTTGGTAACGCTGTTAACAGTGTTTATTTGAACTTTTTAAGTAACACTAATAACAATGTTTATTTGAAGTGTGAAGTACAGTAATAACAGTGTTTATATATTATTTATAGGTTTGGTAACACTGTTAGCTGTATTTATATTGAGTATTGAGGGATTGGGTACTGAAGATATAGCAGAGATATTAGACTGGGTGTTTGTGGTGATATTTCCCCAGTATAACTTGGGAAGGTGTTTTATGAATATATATTCTAATTATAATAATTATGATAACTGTGTTAAACAGAACTACCCTGATATCTGTAATTTTGTGTCAAGCCATCCTTGCTGTTCAGGTTAGTTACCAAACATTATTATGTTAAGGCCCATCTCAATTTTGAAAGAACACCATTTTAGAATAATTGGCAATAGTTTACTTTAAACTTAGACTGTCCAGATATAGTAGATGCAAAATTGAATTTCTTTGAGATGAAGCAATTGCTGAATTTTCATCTAGAATATGCTTACAGCATAGAGAGAATTTCCTACAAGTTTCTACCAATTACTCATGTGAATTCTTGGATGCCATCAACATGATTTCGAGCGTGTTCGTCTTCTTGTGCAGATTGTCAAGCTATTACGGACTTTTTCTTATTCCTTGACTGAAATAGCCAATATTCTTGTATCTCAGAAGTTTGTTAATGCAGTGATTTGATTGGATTGTGCACTAGCTAATACAGCCAATCAGCGTCCTCAATAGAAAGACTGTGAACGATTTGGCTATGCGTGTATGATTGGCCGTATTCACTAGAGTACAATCCAATCAAATCGCTGCCTTTAAAAAACTTACAAGATACAAGAAAGGTGACTTTTGCAGTCAAGGTATTAGACACATGTTGTAATAGCGTCACATTGTGAAGATGAGGATATAATACTCTATTTCATTTTGATGATTTCCTGATTTCTTTTAATATGCATCATCCATTTTTATTATTTTTTTTTTAAAGAATGTGTATTCTGTACTAAGTTCACAATGGATTACTTACAAATCGACGAACCAGGAATAGGTAAACATCTGATGTTTATGGTCATTCAAGGACTCCTTTTCTTTGTGATCACCTTGATGATTGAAGCCCAGGTGCCCCAGAAACTGTGGTACAAACTACAACCAGTCAGGTCAGAGGTAGCAGCAGCTCCGAAATCAAGTCTCAGAATGGCATCCTCCATGTCTCATCACGAAGACAATGATGTAACCGACGAAAAGACACGAGTTGCCAACATGAACTTAGACAACCCAAAAGATTCATTCATCTTGAAAGATTTATATAAAAGATACGGAACCTTCGTGGCAGTGGATCATATCAGTGTTGGTATACCAGAAAGAGAATGTTTTGGTCTGCTGGGACAAAATGGAGCTGGTAAGACCACCACCTTTAAAATGTTAACTGGAGATGTCATGGTTACGTCAGGAAATGCTTATCTAGAACAAAACAACATCAAAAACAAATTACAAAAGGTATAGTCATCATACTTTATTTTTCCTAACTGGCCTGTCAAACAACTTGTTATAGCTCTGTTGCGGTGAGGTGGTTGCTCTTTGTGGTGAGTTTGTAGCTCTTTGTGGTGAGTTGGTAGCTCTTTTTGGTGAGTTGGTAGGTTTTTGTGGTGAGTTGGTAGCTCTTTGTGGTGAATTGGTAGTTCTTTGTGGTGAGTTGGTAGGTCTTTGTGGTGAGTTGGTAGCTCTTTGTGGTAAGTTGGTAGCTCTTTGTGGTGAGTTTGTAGCTCTTTGTGGTGAGGTGGTAGCTCTTTGTGGTGAGGTGGTAGCTCTTTGTGGTGAATTGGTAGCTGTTTGTGGTGAGTTGGTAGCTGTTTGTGGTGAGTTGGTAGCTGTTTGTGGTGAGTTGGTAGCTGTCTGTGGTTAGTTGGTAGCTGTATGTGGTGAGGTGGGAGCTCTTTGTGGTGAGTTGGTAGCTCTTTGTAGTGAGATGGTAGCTCTTTGTGATGAGGTGGAAGCTTTTTGTGATGAGGTGGTAGGTCTTTATGGTGAGGTCACCTCACTGAGGTGGTAGATTTTGTGGTGAGGTGGTAGCTTTGTGAGTTAGATTCATGCTTGATAACCTGTATATCTAGGAGTTACTTTGACGAAAGAAACTTCAACTGTCAATTTCATTTTTTTTTTAGATTTTGTCTAGTTTGCCTTGTATCATAAAGTATCAATACTCATTTTGTTGCCTGCAGTTTCGATACATCGGTCAAGCCATAGTTTGAACCCAATAGAGGTTGCAATAATGAGATAATACCTTGGAACTGACATTGAAATGCCAATTTAAACTCCATTCATTTCATTTCATTTGGTGCATGTCACATATCCAAAGACATTTGTAATAGAACATTTCCACCTTCATAAATAGGATGTAAACTCCAACTCATTTCTTTAAACTCACCAATTGATTCAATTTCTTTGGATGATGTCACTGCACTGTCTTTAACTATACATAACTATACATTTCTTTTGATAATCAGCTCATATCCTTATTTTGCAGGTTCAAGAAAATTTAGGTTATTGTCCTCAGTTTGATGCTTTGATTGATCAAATGACTGGTCGAGAGACACTGTATATGTATGGTAGATTAAGGGGCGTTCCAGGATCTCATTTAAAGGGTGTGGTCAATAGTTTGATTGACATTATGATGTTGAGAAAACATGCTGACAAGAAAACAGGAGTATACAGGTTAGTTTTATATTTAATATTTTGGGTAAACGCACAATAATGCAGGACTGTATCTTCAGGGGGACAATGACCCCCTCCCCCAACCCCCCCAAAAAAAAAACGATTTTGAGGCCACGGCCAGTAACTTATGAACTCTGCAAATGTTAATGCTTTCCTCGAAAACTGGATTTGAACACTGTCCTTTTTGTGGTAGTGGACTAGCTCAGTCCGTAGCAATTTGGATTGTTGTCTGAAATTAAGATGCCATAGCCTGAGTTTACGTAAATCGCCTGGGATTTAGCTTTCAGAATCACCTGTAAATATGAAGTATTTCTTTTCTAGTGGTGGTAATAAACGAAAGTTAAGTACAGCTTTAGCTTTGATTGGTGATCCTAGTTTTATTTTACTAGATGAACCTTCTAGTGGAGTAGATCCTAGAGCCAGACGTCAACTCTGGAATGTTTTATCAAAAGTTAGAGATAGTGGTAAAACTTTGATTCTAACATCTCATAGGTTAGTTATTTTAGTGATGGATAATGTGGAATTCAAGCTCTCATAAGTGATTAAGCATTTATTCAGAGGACTTTTAGCATAGTTTCAAGAAATTACCTTCTTAATGAAAAGGATTTTCTAGCTTTTTTCATATGTATCAGGGGCATTTATAGAGGTGCTTAACTGTATATGATGTCAATATCGCAAAAGCAGTAACATCTTTTGAGATATTGATGCAATAAATACTTAGTTTTAATGAAAGTGCAAGGCCCACAAGACATCTGATTGAAAAATCAGCTAATGCTGCTGTCCTGGCAAAATATCCCTCACTGCCCCCTGCATGGCATCGCCCGTTTTCATTTCATTTTCAATGCCTCCTTTTAATACACTCAATGTGTATCACTCAGACGACTTGATGATGGGGAAATATTCACCGAAAAAATTTTTAGACCCATAACTTTTAAAGATATGTAGACTCTCTGATATGGAGGATAGCTTCTTTTGATTATGATCCTAAATTATTTTGATTTTATTTTCTTGTTTTGTGATTTATGTATCTACATATCCATATTCATTTCCATTTTATAGCATGGAAGAATGTGATGCTTTATGTACAAGAATAGCTATAATGGTCAATGGTAACTTTAAATGCCTGGGAAGTCCTCAGCATCTCAAAAGCAAGTTTGGTCATGGATATACTTTGATTTGTCGCATGAAAACAGAAAATGGATGGACAGCTGAAATAGAGCCTTTGGTTAAATTTATCACTGAAAAATTCCCTACTGCAGAGGTATTTGATGATCACCATGGTTACGCCCACTTTCAGATTCCTGACAATGACATTCCATTAGCAGGAATCTTTGAGACAATGGAACAGTCAAAAGAAGAATATAGTGTAGAAGACTATTCCGTACACCAGACCACATTGGAACAAGTTTTCCTAACATTTACAGGAAAACAAATTCCACCAAAAGAAGACAAATCTGGATGCTTTGGTAATATTAAGTGTTGTTGAAATACTCTTACCAATTTTCTTTTCTGTAAATTTTAAGACCAATTTGGCCTTTAATGTGTCTGTCCTATTCTCATTTTAAGAAGCATAATAAAAATAAGAATTGTCTTAAAATTCTTTCTACTATTGTACATAGAGTTATCAGTTTTTGTTAATTTAATTCATTCTTGCTTCTTACATTTATGTCAACAGGCGGAGTAATCCTTGGTTTAAGAAATTTATTTTTTCTTGTAAATACATGTATATCGAAAACAGTCTGAATTTTTTGTTCCACACAAACACTGGTTTTTAAACTGTGATAAAAATAGTTCCAAAATATACCCTTTAAATTAACAGACAATACCACTTTAAGCCTAAACCAACAATTTGAAATGTTTTACCATGAATCTTTTGATATAAATTTCCGAAATTTTGCATTTTACAGTTAATTCACACCCAAAAAAAATTTCCAAATTCATCTTGATTAATGAAAGGTCTACGAGCCTTTCTGATGTTGATCCCTTGATCAAACAACTATGTATTTTAATCACTGTAATATATAAATTGAGAAAATATTACCAAAAAGTGGTCACAAATTTGATTTGCTTTGCTATATTATAGTACTCATTATTCCATCTTAAATTATCAATTGTCAATTTCAAAAATTTCAACTTGGTAAAAATTGTAACAGATGTGAATTTCTGATCAATTAAAACCAGGTTAATACTGCTTTCCCCAAGTGCTTGTTTAAAAATTTTAACCTAGCCTATGTATGTATATCAGGGACCCTTATAGCTTATTTTTCATGCTTAATGTTTTATATGCCCACATTATTGTTGTTGCCCCTGTCCATCCTACCGTCCACAATTGGCTTCTGAACAAAATAGAGCCAAAAGTTTTTATCTGATGTTAATCAAATTTGGTGTGATCATTTATATTCATGAGATCTTGAACAAGTTCGAAATTGATCTTAAGATGAACGTTAATTTAGTTGTTGCCGTTGACTTATGAAAATTGCATTGAAATTTGTTTGTGAACACAATAGAGACTACAGATTTCATCTGATTTGAATGAAATCAGGTGTGATCATCTATTACAATGAGATCTGGTCAAGTTTGAAATCGACGATTTCTCAATGAATGGATTTTGAGTTACTGCCCTTGACTTACTGAAACTGCATCAAAATTTGTTGGCTTGTTAACGCGATAGAGGTGACAGTTTATGTCAGAATTTTATTAAATAATGTATGTTTGTTTAAATCAACAATATCTTGCACAAATTAGATTTTTGTTATGATTTGACACAGATAGGTGACTGGCCTTGATATACTGAAAATATATCAGGGAAGTGGGCGTTGCTAGGCAACCAGTTGTTGTTCTTGTACTTATAGAAAAAAAAATATCAGATTACAATGCCACTATTGTAATTATATACCATTTGGCTGGAAATTTATTTGCATTTAGAAAATGTAGTACTCTTCAATTAAATAGAGCAGAAAACTCAATGATTGCCTTTGATTGTGATAGCAAACAATTTTTGCCTTGGCATTATTGCTGTGTTTGATCTCTTTTTGTGATAAAATTGTGGAAATTGATGAATGTTTCTGCAGCTGCATTTACTGCTTACTGTTATATTTTTTATAAAAGTTTATTGTCCTTCTATATGAATTAAATTCATTGGATTTTAAAGGGATAGGTACGCCATTTTGGGGGGTTGATTTTAGTCTTGAATATATGTATATAGTCTTGTACTAGACATGTACGGAAATCGCATAAAATCTCTCAAACTAGAAATTTTACTCAGTATTTCTATAAATGTCTTTTATATATATCACAGAGTATCTTAAATTGACGAGTCGTCATTAAAACATTCAAAATCGACACGTGGATTTGAAAGCCCAAATTTCGAAGGTGAGCTGTGAACACTATTACTGATTGGTTTAGCTAAAAATAATCAAAGACTAATTGATATTTTGAGACAAACTGGTATTTTTCCAAGACACCTCTACTTTCTATACATATTGGTATTTTCATGTTCATAAATGTTCATAAATGAAAATAAGCGAACCCATCTTTAAGCGTGATTGGAATTATGAGATCTGAACTATTGCCCATGACTTTACACACTAGAAACTTATTAAGTAGTAAGCACAAAGAACAGTTTTGAATAGATATTGATCTAGGTAAATGTTGGAATCATTTCAATGCTGCTGCAATAGGTAAATAATTTATTTCAAATGATGTTTGACCATCGTGTTTATTTATTTATTGTTTATGTAAGTTATTTGTTGACAAGATTATATATATTAATAATCAAAACTGAATTTTTGTACGAAAAATATAAGAAAAAAAAATATATTGTAATCTAAAATTAATTTAATGTAATTTATTTCATTTAACTTATTTTTGTTAACATGTTAACATATCAATTAACATATCTTTGTTGTTGTTTGCTCAGTCTCTAAAACCAAAATGTCAACTGTATATATAGGTCCATAGTAACCTCTACAGGTCTATAGTAACCTATACAGATCCATAGTAACCTCTACAGGTCCATAGTATCCTGTACAGGTCCATACTAAACTTTACAGGTTCAAAGCAACCTCTACAAGTTCATAGCAACCTCTACAGGTCCATAGCAACCTCTACAGATTCATATTAACCTATACAGGTCCATAATAACCTCTACAGGTTCATAATAACCTCATCGGGTCCATGGTAACCTCTAAGGTCCATAGTAACCTGTACAGGTCCATAGTAACCTTAAATGTGCATATGGTTGTCAATGTTGTATGCTAAGGCCATTCTTTGAATATTTCGGAAGTAACTGAACACAAGCAATAGCTATTTACTATCTATCATGTTATAATAAATATTAACAGTTACTATGATATCTATATAAATATATGCTACCGATGCTTAACGAACATGATGAAGACTCGGCTAATAATATAGTTGCACCTGTTTGACAAATGCTTTTATTGAAAATTGTGCCAGACTTTCTACGTCAAAAAAGGTATGAACAGATTAATAAATAAATAAATAAATAAATTCTTCGTGATAAAACATTCTAAGCTTCATCCTGGTCGCCTTCTTCTTCATCAAATTCGCCTTCTTCTTCAGCTGTAGCATCCTGGTACTGTTGATATTCAGATACCAGATCATTCATATTAGATTCAGCTTCAGTAAATTCCATCTCATCCATACCTTCACCTGTATACCAATGGAGGAAAGCCTTTCGTCTGAACATAGCAGTGAACTGTTCTGATATTCTCTTGAACAATTCCTGGATTGCAGTGGTATTTCCGATAAATGTTCCTGACATCTTCAAACCTCTTGGTGGAATATCACAGACAGCAGTTTTAACATTGTTCGGAATCCATTCCACGAAGTAGCTGCTGTTCTTGTTCTGAACGTTCAACATCTGTTCATCTACTTCCTTCATAGACATACGACCTCTGAACATTGCAGCTACTGTCAGATAACGACCATGACGAGGATCGCAGGCAGCCATCATGTTCTTGGCATCGAACATCTGTTGGGTGAGTTCTGGAACAGTCAGAGCTCGGTACTGCTGGGAACCTCGAGAGGTCAGAGGAGCAAATCCTGGCATAAAGAAATGCAGACGTGGGAATGGTACCATGTTTACAGCCAGCTTCCTCAGATCAGCATTAAGTTGGCCGGGAAATCGGAGACATGTGGTCACTCCAGACATAGTGGCTGATACTAGATGGTTGAGGTCACCATAAGTAGGCGTGGTTAATTTGAGGGTACGGAAACAGATATCATACAAAGCCTCGTTATCAATACAGTAAGTCTCGTCTGTATTTTCTACCAGTTGATGAACTGACAGTGTGGCGTTGTAGGGTTCGACAACAGTATCGGATACCTGAAAATGAAATAAGGTTCAGATGATTTGAAGAACAGGACAAGTGAAAAAGACAACCGATTCTGTATGAAATGATTGATGTTTCAGTAACGGTCTCATGTGCGTGCTTATGTACAAAACTACAGCACTGCACTGTGATCAAATAGAAGAGATAAGTGTTTCAAAATGTTTGGAAAACATAATTCGACAATGCACATTTCAGTTGATGATTTCACAAGTTAATCAACGAAAGTTTGAAAAAAATGTGCGTATTTTACCTTTGGTGAAGGACAGACAGAGAAGGTGTTCATAATTCTATCTGGATATTCTTCACGGATTTTACTGATCAGGAGAGTACCCATACCAGAACCAGTTCCACCACCCAGAGAATGGGTCAACTGGAATCCTTGTAGACAATCACAGCTCTCGGCTTCTTTACGGACCACATCAAGAACAGAATCTACCAATTCAGCACCTTCTGTATAATGACCTTTAGCCCAGTTATTACCGGCACCAGATTGACCAAAGACAAAGTTGTCGGGTCGGAAGATCTGACCAAATGGTCCTGAACGAACAGAATCCATGGTACCAGGTTCCAAATCGACGAGAACAGCTCTGGGTACATATTTACCACCGGTAGCTTCATTATAATAAACATTGATTCTCTCCAACTGAAGATCAGAATCACCGTGGTAAGTTCCAGTTGGGTCAATACCATGTTCATCGGAGATCACCTCCCAGAACTGAAAATGAAACATAGAACCTTTAAATATCTATTTGATAAACGGCTTCGGAAATGTAAGTTAACTTTTTAAAAATTTAGACAGGTGCTCTCTCAATTTCTTCTCCGAAACCAGTTTACCACTCCCCTGACACCTAGTCCCACACCCCCAGGGGATCTGTAGAGTTATGAGAGAAAAATATTTACCTTGGCTCCAATTTGGTTACCACATTGGCCAGTTTGCATATGAACGATTTCTCTCATTTTGACGTTGGTTGTTAAGAGTTAACGATGAATGTCTTTAAAGAGTTAACAACGTATGAAACGTCAATAAAAACTGAATGGATTTGAATTATTCTCCGGTCTCTTTATATGATAAGGTTCTCTTGCACTATGGTTACTGTTTGCCAAATCAGCGATTTATGTTGATTGGTTTGATATATAGGATTAGGGATTATCTCCTTAGGTAATCAATTGTTATACTTATTGTGTATGACAAATGTTAGAAACCTTGAAATACATAAATCAACCTTGAGTTTGTACACCGTGAAATAAGTATATTGGTAATAGTAACTTTCTATTTCAAACGTCTCCACAATGATCAACTCGAGAGAGCCGCGGTGGCTCAGTGAGTTAAACGCTTGCTCGCTAACCTGAAGGTCCAGGGTTCAATCCCGGCATAGGTCGAGATAATACCTTTCAACCCGGGTTTCCCCCGGTCAGTGATGGAGGTGAGAGGGGCTGGCATGGAAAAAGCGTCTAGTCGTTCGGATGGCACAATAAACCGAGGCCCCGTGTGCTACAGGCTGTGCACGTTAAAGATCCCTTGACAGTTGGAAATCAAAAAAGAGTAGACTAATGCCGCTGTCCTGGAAAAATTTCCCTCATTGCACCCTGCATGGCATTGCCTGTCTTCATTAGCCCACATCGTGCAGAAAAGTAGGACGTAAAACTCCATTCATTTCATTTCATTTCAATGATCAACTTGAGCAATACGTTGACAATTGTGAAGATGATCAGGTTTTTGATTACCTTTCATTTGAAAATCGGAATTCACGTGGACGCTTCGTTCGTCAACACCCATGTCAGTCCGTCCATCGTTCACAGTTCCTCGAAAATAGGGGCGTATCTACAAAATGTCTGCCAGGGGGTGTGGGCAAAAGTAAGAGGTGTCGAGACAAGAGCCGAGGGGCAAAAGCCTGAGATGAAGGCTTACTTTTCAATTCAAAAAGAAAATTGTCACCGGGTAGGAGGTCGAATTGCAATTGGCCACCAAAAAAGGGGTGTCTCTCTTGGTCTGGTAGGTCAACAGATTCATATGACCTGAGCTGAATCTTGAGCATGTAGAGGGCTTAATTTTCACTTCAAAAAGAGAATTGTCACACGCCTGAAGGTGAGGGAGAGCATTGCTAGTGGCCACCAAATGAGAGATGGCTCTCATTTCTAAGTTCCCAACAATAGCAATAACTTTCTACTAGCTTGTAACAACTAAAATATGTGATCATACATTTATATTCTTTATGAAATAACTACATTTACAATAAACATTCACAGATACACTCAGTTTCACAAGATAAATGACTTCAATGTATAAATAAATACAGAAACATCTACAAATACATTTTTTAATCTTCTTTAATAGAGAGCACTCTGCCTTACATCCCTGCGATAGAGCTTTTCCATAGCTTTAACAGTAAATTCAAGTCACCAAATCCATGCAATGGAGAGGAAATTGATTGGCTAGTAGTGTCATCAAACAGATGTTCAAGAGGGCCATCGCTAGACCCTAACTGAAGTGACTATATCAATGATAAAAGCTAATAAAAAGACTAAACGAAAGTGTGGTCTAATTTTAGTTAGACTGTATCTATCCTATCGTAAATAACAAATAATGATTGCTAATGATGATACTGAAGATTTCAAGTTAATGTTGGATTAGGTAAATTTATTTTTGATATAAATAGTTTCAGGTTGAACGATTCCACCAGTTAGTTCCTCTTCTACACCATCTAATATCCAATCATGATTACTGATTTCTAAGGCTTCCCATTCCGCTTTAAATGCTTTCATGGGATCTTGTGGTGCCATCATGGCTGAACCTGACATTTGTTCCTGCATCATTCTAGTTTGATCAGCAGCTGAAGTA